CAGGAATGCACAAATAATGATAACTCATGCTCTATCACTTCCTTTCCCATTCATGGGAAATAAGGTGTAACCAGAAACGGTGTTCGACCAGACACAACAGCAGAACGAAACGGGTTCCTGATTTTTCCCCCTAAATGCATGGTTCAGAGATTTAAAATTCACTATTTATGAGGTAATACGTATAGTGATAAACTCTATTTATTTACACAAGCAACTACAGGTTAATCAAATACTACGTTTAATTCACCTATTCTACTACAGACTTTAAGACTGATAGTCATGGCTAAATAATAAATACACAAAAATTATTAAGAGTAATCATAAAAATAACATTTGTCAGACACTTGCGTGTGCTTATTTATATTTGGGCACCTTTATGCACCCGGGTATTTATACAGTACTAAATCAAACAAACTTCAGTTTTTGACGCGTTAAAATGAGACGTGATAGTTGAAGAAAAAAAAAAAAAAAAAAGGTATATATCATCTATTAACAGAATGTTTTATTGTGCATGATTTAAAAAAAATGAAGCACAATACTTTTATGCAATTGTATTAGCTATAGATATAGTATAACCCTTCATGCACGAAAGCTAAATAAAAATATTTCCCAACTATATTTTCCAGTTTTACAGTGTGCTGCAAACGTCAAAGCGTAATACAAATTCCCCTCTGTTGAATTTGCTGCCACATCCTCGACAAAAACGTTAAACGTTATTGTCGTTGCTTTGTTTGACAAAAACGTACAAAACAATGAAGAACACAATCTTGTGAGCAGCGAGTCTGTGGCCGTGATTACTATCCAGGGAGTCACCCTGGTCTGTCTCCATAGATACTACATAACACTCTGGATAAAATCGAGCAATGGACGAGGATCAGTCTGCTGAGGAGGTAACCGACACAAAAATTATAATAGTAACGTGTGATTCCTACTTCTAAATGTACGCAGTAGAGATACTCAATTTTTCTCAGACATACCTCAAAGCTGAGACCTTAATTATTTTCATTCACAGACTACATTTGTTGTGGACGAGATTACCACAGTTATCAAAGAAGTAAGAATCTACTACATCACCAACCTGTGTAGACACGGAGTCAATCTTCGACAGTAAATTAAATTATTTTGATTGTAGGAGTAAATACTTAGAAATGTAAATGATCGATATTTTACTTTGCAATAATCACTAGTGTATTATGGGGTCTTTTGACAACAGGCTGTTGAAAGCACCATTGGAAACAGCTCTTACCAGCACAGTAAAATCAACCAGTGGATGTCAGGCATTGTAGAGTCAAGTCTAAGCCAGCTAACTAAATTAGGAAAGCCTTTCAAGTACATAGGTATGGTAAGAGGCCGTTAAAACTACAATAATACTTATGTAAAGGTACAGTACCCGTAATTTCCCCCCAAATTCAATCTCTTATGTTTGTTCACCCAGTGACATGCATCATACTCCAAAAAAATGGGGCAGGTTTGCACACTGCCAGCTCATGTTTCTGGGACAACAGTACAGATGGTAAGACATATTGTAAGACTGGGCAAGATTTCGTTTTCTTACTTTAATGCAAAACGGCCCAAATCCAAGGATAATCGAGAAATTGCTTTTAATGATACTGACTTTTGTTTTTCTACAGGGAGTTGCACGGTTCGATGGGAGAACAAAACCATATACTGCATTGTTAGTGTTTTCGGGCTTGCCATTTGAGGATGAATATCAACATGCAGGCCTGTCTCCTGTTCAATGGTTTCCAAACATTTTTGTAAGCCTCATAAACAAGCAAGGATGTCCCTGTTTAATTTGAATAAAACTTGAATACATTTATTTGCAATTCAAATTCTGCATTTGTTTTCTTAGTGTATATAAAAAAAACTAAATGTAACATGGATCTTGTGGAGTCATTTAGTGATTGGTGTGATGTGTATACAACATAATAGAATATGAATTTTCAAAATCATTTGTCGTTCTTTTTTATTTGACCTTATTTACAGATATAAACATTCACAACTTCACAATTAAGGTACCTAATCCTGGCATCAAAGAACCAAAATTGTATCAATGATATAAAAAAATACTATGAAAGTCTCTCAAATAAAAAAGTGGGCCTTGGTGCCCAGCAGAAGATTATGCTTTAGTTTCAGAGGGTAAGAGATCGAGAATGGAGGCAAAGGACTTTGGCCTCTCTAGAACCACCACAGGCTTCAAGAACTGAAGTTGTTTTATAGCTTGGTCCCCACAGCCCCCTAAAGCTCTCTCCAAAATCAGACGGAGATTCTGGATAGAGGCACACTCTCCTTTAGAGATCAAGTGCCTCAGAGGGGATGAGCGAAACTTGCGACTTCGTGAGATTGGGGCTCCTCTCTGAGTATTCTCCTTAACCGAGCAGTTTCGCCAGAAACAATCACGGCGTCGAGGAGGATCAGGCTTAGTAACTACTGCAGTCCATGGCTTTTCAAATTTGATCTCCTCCTTCTCTTTAATGAACTTCAAGAATGACGACTCAAAGCCCATAGGTTTGTAAGTTGCGATGTCAAAAGCTCGTGGGGCTAGACTGTGAGTTACAGGATCATTTGAGATTGGTAAAAGAGGGACTAGAGGTGATGGTTCAGAGAGTTCATTCTTCCGTCTGAGGGGCTGCCGAGTTGGGGTGGGAACTGATATGGAAAGAGTAGAAGGAATGTTAATAGATTTACTGTCTTTACAAGAAGGTTCAACTGAACTTTCATCAACAGCGATTCTGAGGGTAGATGGTGGAGAGAGGTCAAGCGGTGGAGGGCGAATAAGGGGAGGTGTGGTTAACTCCGACTCTGACCTGTCTTTGTGCCTTGGACTCTCCTCGGAAACAGACTCTTCGGGGTGCCTGCTTGACTTTGGGGGGCCATAGAGCAAATCCTCAGCAGCAATAAGCAAACTTCTGTCAGGGAGTGGCTCACCTGAAAACTCGATCACTTCCTGCCCCTTTGATTCAGTTTTGATCGAATGGAGGCTCATTGGCAGTGATGGGCCACCTGGGGTCGCAGGCTCAGACTGATACTCCATTTTAAGGACGCCATTTGGAATTCTTGTTAAATCAGGGATAGCAGACACAGCGGATTTCTTTTGGATTATCTCCTCTAACTTTTCAGCTGTGTAACATAATTTGTCCTTATTGTCAGTCAACTGTTTGCGTCTAACTTTGTGAACGCTAATATAATGTCGATTTAAACTATGCATGCTCATGACTACAGAGTCACAATTCTGTACCATGCAAGGGAAGGCCACAGGACGGCAGCGGTCCTGGCACATCTGCAAAGCCTCCTCATGCGTTCGGAAGACAATCCTGTCAAATCCTTTTTTTAGTTTGATTTTTGGTTTCTTAGGTACTTCTTCCAGCTCCTCCTCTGCGGTTTCTTCAATTGACTCAAAGTTATTGTCAGAACGAGAAATTTCCTGATCTTTGAGGCAGCACCTCATAGGCTGCTTAAGAGGCAGCTTTTGGGAATCTTTCGACGACTGGGAAGAAGGTGAGATGATTAACTTTGTTTGGCATCCACTATTTGACTCATCTTTTTTAGGTGTACTCTGGAGACGCACCACAAGGGAATCAGATGGATCACAATGCCTATAGAAAACATGCTTTTTATAGCTTGATTTAAACTCGCTGTTCACAGATGTAGCAACTGGATTCAGGGGAGTCTGGTTCTGGTGAAACTGACTTGTGTGACGCAAGAGGCTGCTGTTGAGATGGTAGGACTCGTTGCAGTTAGCATAGGTACACTTGAACCTTGGTATGGGCTCCTCTGATGAAGCCATTTGTCTTTTTGGTATGTTCTTAGACTTGCAAGGCATTTTCGATGTAATTTTCTTGTTGTGCTCTCTACGGTAATGTTTAGTAAGACTAGACAAGTTGTTAAACTGCTTATCGCATCCTTTGTGTTCACATGGGAAGCACAACTGTGAGCGGTTATAGTGATGCACCAACTGAAGGTGGCCAACAAGAGCATTCTGAGTACTGAAGGCAGCACTGCAGTTTTTATGCACACAATGAAAGGGTTTATTGTATTTATTGAGGATGTAGCTCAGATTCCCTTTAGCAACCAAGCGGCGACTTCCCCTTACATCAACATTTGAGTGGTTTACATGCACATCAGTTTCAGAAGGGACTTGGCTCTTCTTTTCAGCTTTAGCTTGTCCATTTTTTCTATGAAGCTTGCGCTTCCACAACCGATAATCTTGTTTTTGGCATTTTTGTTGCCACAGGTGTTTTTCTCGTCTTTGTGTTTTAACATCATCCATCTTCAAAGACTGTGACTTCTTCCTGGTCCTCACCTTAGATGAGGACACCACGGGTGCTTTATCAACTAGCTTTCTTTTAAAAGAGCAGCTCATCTGTTCAACAACAGCTTTATTTATGTGATGCATATGTATATAGTGGATCCTCAATTCTTTTTTGTTTCTGTAGCTCTTGGAGCAGAGATGGCACTTGAAAGGCTTGAATATTTGAGACTGAAACACCTCCATCTCTTTCACCTCTTCCTCAGAGTAAGCATGAACCTTAATATAGTGCTGCATTAAAGCATGACTAGTAACACTCTGGTAGCGGCAACCTTTAGCTTCGCAGATGTAAGGTTTCGTTGTGGCCTGCACAAGGAACTCGCTGTGTGGTTGATCGTCCTCCAAGACAGAATTTTCAGTGCTGTCAAGCATTTTGGAAGGCTTGAATGTTTGAGACTGAAACACCTCAATCTGTTTAACCTTTTCCTCAGAGTAGCCATGAATCTTAATGTAGTGCTGCATTAAAGCACTACTGGTAACGCTCTGGTAGTGGCAGCTTTTGGCTTCGCAGGTGTAAGGCTTGGTTGAGAGCTTGCTTTGCAGTTGCTCCTTCTCAGGGTCTTTATTGTTGTCACGTGCTTGTTGTGATTCTGGCTTGCTTGGCAGCTTCTTTGAATCACTACTCGATACATGAGATCTCACCTCATTTTTGTTGTTTGATGCTTTGGCAGGTGACCTTGCTTTCAAGGTAGGCGTGCAAGTGCTCTGTGAATTACGCGTAGCATATCTGGTGCTGGGAGAATTAAGGCTTAGTTGACTCAATCCAAGCATGATCTCGGTTAGTGCTGCACCAAGTTCCACGCTTGAAAGGGTTATGTCACAGTCTATGGACTCAGGAGCAGGTGAGGGAGCTTTTTCATGATTAGATTCCTCCGTTGATGACCTTCTTAGAGTGTTATCCTGACCACTTTTATGCAATTCATTGGCTTGAGTCTTAGAATGCTTTGCTTGTACTTTCTTCTTGCATAATTGATCCTCCACATTAAATTTGTCTGGATGAGCAATTCTCAAGTGCTTCTGAAGTTCTCTTGCAGTAGTAAATGTCCTTCCACACCTTTTTAAGCCACACGTAAACTTCTTACCATCAAAGCAGACAGCAACACATGTCAACGAGACCTTAAATTCCCTGTTGGCCAACAGCTGTGAAGAACCTGAACCTTTTTGGACACCATTCTCTACTTCCGCCTTTGACTCAGAGCTTTCCACAACCGGGAGCAAGAGTTTCCTTTTCATTTTTCTCTGTGTCTCAAAGTCTTTCTCTGTAAAGGTGATGTCATGGGTTGCCAAGTGCTGAAGAAATTCTTTGCGAGAGTAGAAAAAGTTCTTGCACCCTGGACTGGTGCAAGTGTAAGCAGCATCGCGGAAGTGCTGCGCCTCATGGTGGTAGAGCTGCCCAAGGTCACAATAGGAGAAACTGCAGCCTTTCAGCTCACAGCCGTAGGACAAATGGAACCCATGACTATGCTTATGTGCTACAAGTTCATTGGTGGTGTCAAAACGGGCACCGCATCCTGTGACCACACACATGTAGGGATGCTCTCCATAATGGACCCAACGGTGCTGGCGATGGTGAAAGGCAGTCATGAAGGTCTTCCGGCAGAAAGTGCACTTCTCCCGACGGTCTTTCATCTCCAGATAATGTTTCAGGTTGGGATCTTCACTATCATGTTCATTTTTGATGTGCACACCCAAATATTTGAAAAGTTTAAAATTTCTTGAGCAGTTACTGGCTGGACACTGGTAAACGTCATGATTCTGTAACTTATATTGTGTTTTAATGTAGTCAAATGTAATATAGTCATTTTCTACTTGCTTATCAGGCACACTGGCGGCTTTCTCTAATATATGTTCTAATACAACAGGGTCATGGGTGGACTGATAGTACATGGCTAGAGAAGGGTCTAAAGGAATTTGACCTGGCTCTAACTCATCAAAACTATCCTCCTTGAAATATTGTTTCGGGTCCACCTTCTTCACTTTTTTCTTTTTCCAGTGACCCTCTGCAGGAATCTGAATGTGTGTTTTAGAGTGTGGCTCAAACTCCTTTTTACTTTTAAACCTTTGTAGACACACAGGGCATGTCCACACATCATCTTCCATGTGTTTTCTGGCATGGTGACAGATTCGTGTCTCAACCACTTTTTTATGGCATATCTGACAGACAAATTTATTCTTCTCTTGCTTGTCTGATCTCTTAGAGACATCCTCTGAGTCTTGTTTCTTTAAGACTTTTTGGCCTGTTTCGGTTTCTGCTTTTTCCACTGTCTGCTCTTGCTCAGTGCTGCTAAATACATTAATTTCACTTTCACCTTCTTCCTCCTTCCCAGCCTCTTCATTCAAAACTGCTCCAACATTACACAGCTCCTCTGGTACTGCTTCATCTTCTACTTCTTCCTCCGGTTCCAACCCCAGTAACTGACTGCAGTAGCGCTTCAATGTCTTCCAGTCCCAGAATTCAGGATCAAATGGCCAATGTGCTTTC